TTCTTTCTTTCTTTCTTTCTCGTTGCGTGCCTGCTTCATGTCCTTCCTTCATGTTTGTCACGTTTGTTTGTTCACTTGTCGTCTGTGCACACGTGTGTTTTTGAAATGGAACCTCTTGACCTTTTAGCAGGGGGCTCGTGCAGGCATAGATGGCACGAGCCAACGAAGACCCATCTAAGTCGTCGTGATAACGTGCTTGTGTTGATCGCGCCTGGGTTTGTGAGTGGCAGATCTCAAGCTTTTGGTCCCTGCTGGTAATTGGAACATTTCTGCCAGCCTTTGAGTCCTTTTGCATCGGTTTGCGCTCGGCGTGATGCATTGTTTTCTTTGAGGTCTTCATGGATGGTGTCGCATTCAAACCGCACGTGCTCCATCTTGAGTGTGTGTGTGCCCCTTGTAGTCACAGGGATCCGTTTGGATTGTATGTTTGACCACGTTTTTTAATAAGCAAGGGGGCTGGTTGTTCATACAAGTACCAGCCCAACGAAGAGGCTTGCATTGAACACTGATATCGGTGGGGACGCTCGCCGACGTACCTGCGTCAAATTTTTTAAGCTTCCGTCACGCACTCCGCAGTTGTGAGCGACCGTTGTCAACCTGTCGTCCCGATCTCGACTTACGACTTTGGACTCCTTTCCTTTTGAAGACCCCCAGGCTTCAGTGGCTCGTACTTGTACTCTTAGGAAATGGTAACCAAGGCTGGCGTGTGGCACCGCCTTCAGTTCAGTACACCCTATCCTAAGTGTGTAAACCGCTATCACAAGCGGGCCGAGTTTGCATTGCGATCAAACCACTTGAGTTGACCTGTTTCATGCCTGGCTATAGAGTGAATCTGACTACTGCTGTAGAAATGGAGTGTCTAAGTTACTTGAATCGTTCAGTGACCTCGACTAGTGCAGTCAATTATATGTCTAAGCAGGGGTTGGAAACAACTGTATTGCTTCTCCACCAACGAAGCTGGCAATGCACGGTGGGGATATCAGTTAAACTTGGCAGAGATGACGTACATGCTGAGTTTTGACCATGATGCCATTCAAGCTGTTACACTAATATTCAGGCTGTTTCAGGTCAACCAGGTCGCCGGTTTCTCGTCACTGGATGGTGTCACACCTAATGTTGGATCTTGATTAGTAAAGGGGGGTCCCCCCTCAAACAAATGAGGGATCATTTAAAATAAGCTACCACCAAAACAAATCTGGGTTCCTAGGAGAATTCCTTTTGTAATTGATTGTAGTATTCATTTTCCTTTCTCAGCTGGTTTGTAATCAGATATTCTCAGCAACCCTCTTCCTTTGTAGTCTCAGATCTTCAGCAAGAATACTCTCAGCAAGCCAGCCGTTGGCTTAGTAGTATTTAGTCTATTTTTCTGAGGAAAAACTTTGCACAACTGAGAGCCCTTAAAGCAAATTTATTATTGAGGATCAGCGGCCTTCCTGGGCCTTCCTGGTTTACTACCTTGAAAAACATGCTTAGAAACAATCAGTATATAAAGGTTTGATTATGGAATTGGTGAGTTTGGGAAGTTGTGAGTTTTGAAGGGCCAAAGAAACTCCTGACAATCAATAATCCTCTCAGCAAGCCAGCCATTGGCTAATAGTGTTAAGATCTTTTTTCTGAGGAGAAACTTTGCACAATTGAGAACCCTCAAAGCAAGTTTATTATTGAGGATCAGAGGCCTTCCTGGTCTACTACCTTGAAAGTTTGTTTAGGAGCAATCTTTATATAAAGGTTTGATTATGGAATTGATGGTTTTGGGAAGTTGTGAGTTTTGAAGAACCAAAGGGACATGAATACCAACAACCCTCTGAGCAAGCCAGCTATTGGCTTAGTAGTATTCACAGATTTCCGCAGGATTTGAACCTGCAATTTTTCAGAAAAAACAAAGTTTTGGTTCACCCCAAAAAATTAGCATAATAGAGAACCCTTAAAACAAACATGGTGTCAAAACATATTTTTCAATAAATTAGCATTATAGAGGGCCCTATTACCAATCAACATCCAACATTATGCACGCTGATTTCGACGTTGTGGACTTAGGAGGTCGAGGGTGTTTTGACATGTTTTGACACAATTCTAACCCTCCTCACAATAACCCTACCCAATCCACCCAACCCATATCACCAAGAGTGGTGATAAAAACTGCCTCGCGCACAAGCTCGCGGTTCAAGGGAGCCGTTCTAGAGCTTGCTGCGAGCACGTTTGTTTCGACAGCAGTTGCTGAAGTTCCTTCGCGAAAATTCAATTTGAGAGCGCCTGCGGGAAACCACATAGTCCATGCTTTACTTTTTGGCTTTAGCATCAAGTATAGTCACCTTGGTTTGGTTCGAGGAAGGCCCTCTCCCTTTACCATTGTTGAACCGGAGAAGCTAATGAGAAACCTGACCACTGAGGATGTTTCGCAGCGTGGTCTCTTTCTCACCATCGTTTGGTTCGAGGAAGCCCTCCCCTTTCTAGGATTCACCGTTGTTGATCCGGGGAGCCTAAAGAAGCCTGACAACTGAGGAAGTTTCGCGAATCAGTCCCCGTCTGCAATCACAAGTGGGTTTTCACTCAGGCCAAACAATCAACCCACTCAGGATCATAGGTCCTGGAGTACTCAGGATCGACAGAGGGTACTCAGGATGCAGTTGCTCAGGATACAAAACGCCAACAGGCAGGTACAGTCTCGATTACTTCTAAGCTGGTTCGCAAGCGTTGTTTTGCTAAGGGGTATCCTTTCGCGACCCCGCAGGAAAAAGGGTAAAAAACATCGATTTTTACCGTTTTTACCGCGGATATCGTAGAGAAAAAGGGGCGTCCCCCCGGTAAAAACGGTAAAACACGAAATTTTTCGATTTTTACTCTTTTTACCGCGGATATGAAATTTAAACATGGAGCGCCCCCCAGTAAAAAAGATTAAAAACAAAGATTTTTACCGTTTTTGCCACGGAGATGGTAGAAAAGAAAAAGACAAGTGCACCTACAAAAACGGAGAATAACACAACTTTGATTTTTAACGATATGGTAGAAGCAAAAAGAGCAAGCGACTCTTCATTAAAAAAGGTAAACAACAAAAGTAGTCATTTTCACTTTGGACCGTTTTTTACCGCGAGAATGCCTCGGGACCAGGTCGCAAGCTAGAAGACCTCTGTCAACAAAAAGGTTTAATGTTACAGCCCGGGTATCTTCCTATAACCAGGTGGGGTTCACTCCTCCTATCATATAGGAGCGTGTGCCCTTTTCGACAAGAGGAATTTGGTGATTGATCAAAATTTCATGACTTTTAACTTTTGCAGGGCAATGAAAGCCTACATCACTTGGATCGAAAACTTTCGATACCTACCGCGGATATGGCAAAAGAAACAGCGGTGACCCTCCATTAAAATCAAAAAAAACATAGACCCGTTTGCCCCCCTCGATCAAAACAGTACAAAAAGAACAATTAATTTTACCGTTTTGATAGCGGATATGGTATTGAAAAAGGAAGCTCCCCCCGGTAAAAACGGTAAAACAGAATCGATTTTTACCGTTTTTACCGCGGATATGCTGGAAAAAAAGTGGCGCCTCCCCGGTAAAAACGGTAAAAAATAAGATTTTCGTTTTTTACCGTTTTTACCGCGCAGATGCCTCGGATTAACCCCGTAACCCCGGCAACTACGCTAAACCAGCGCAGCTGGCTTAGGTCTGTACGGCCCGCTGTTAGTAGTTTCTAACGCTCGGCTGTTTCAGCCGTTTGATGACAGCAGATACGACTTGTCTTGGATGAATATTTTGTGTAAACCGCTAGCACAAGCGGGCCGAGTTTGCATTGCGATCAAACCACTTGAGTTGACCTGTTTCATGCCTGGCTATAGAGTGAATCTGACTACTGCTGTAGAAATGGAGTGTCTAAGTTACTTGAATCGTTCAGTGACCTCGACTAGTGCAGTCGATTATATGTCTAAGCAGGGGGTGGAAACAACTGTATTGCTTCTCCACCAACGAAGCTGGCAATGCACGGTGGGGATATCAGTTAAACTCGGCAGAAATGACGTACCTGCTGAGTTTTGACCATGATGCCATTCAAGCTGTTACACTAATATTCAGGCTGTTTCAGGTCAACCAGGTCGCCGGTTTCTCGTCATTGGATGGTGTCACACCTAATGTTGGATCTTGATTAGTAAAGGGGGGTCACCCCCTCAAAACAATGAGGGATCATCTAAAATAAGCTACCACCAAAACAAATCTGGGTTCCTAGGAGGGTTCCTTTTGTAACCTGATTGTATTGTAAATACTTTTTACTTTTTCACACACTTTGCATTATAGATGGCCTCTTACTAATCAGCGCCCAACATTATGCATGCTGATTTCGACGTTGTGGACTTAGGAGGTCGACGGTTTTGACATGTTTTGACACAATTCTAGTGCTCCTCACAATCACTTTGCCGTGTGTGTATGTGCCCGAAACAGAGGCAGAAATTCATTGTGTCGGTCCTTGCCGTGGCTTTTTGAGGAGAGCCCCATTGTGCCATTAGTGCCCGAGTCCTTGACCGAAGCTGAAGCACGCGAAACTTTGTTGGGAGATGCTGCTCGGACTTTTGGGTGGAACTATATAGCTTGGGTCCAATGGCCTGCACTTACAGAAGGACCAAAGGCTAGTGCAAAGGACACAGGGCTACATCATGTTTAACATGTGCGAGGTCAGGTTTACTCCTTTGAAAAGGTGTTTGCGCTGGGCATCGGTGTGTTTTGGCTCAGGCACAGCCACGCCACGAAGAAAAGGTTGGGTGGCTTGGGGTGGAGTTTTGAAGGTTTTTGTTGGCCTCGTTTTTGTTCGGTTCACGCACTTGTTCACATTGCTGCGGTTGAAGGTGGAACTGCAGGTGCAGATTGTGCAAACTATTTTATATTGCTTTTATTGGTAGGAAGGGTTTCAACCGTGTCCGCCACCCTGCGGCCGTAGCAGGATGTTCTGAAAGAAGAAGGTGAGGAGGAAGAAGAAGAGACAGAGGAGGCGGAGGAGGATGCCGGAGGTGCAGAGTGGCCTGAGGAGCTGAGACAACATGCCGGGTTGCCACGTGAAGGTAAGTCCAACCTAACAGCAATGGCCTCCAACCTACTTCAACTTCCTCCCCCCCCACCGGACGAGACGAGCTCGCAGACAGAGCTCCAGGAGTTGGTGTTTCGGGGCTGCGAAGCCTGGCCGGAGCTGAACGGCACCTTTTTGCGGACGCGTGACTTCGACCAACTGAGCCCGCACGAGCGGCCGATCTACCAGCGCCGAGTCACGAGCGCCGATGGCAAAGAGCTCCGGGTGCTGTGCTTCTTCTGGGACTTTGGGGCCCAAAGTGGCCCAAAGAAGGCAGGGAGATCAGATTTGGGCATGGCAAGCATAGGTGGTGACAGCACTGTTCCTTTTCAGTCTCTCTTTGACTGCCATGGACTGCTGGCTTGGTGTTGATTGCTGCCAAGAGCTTGAATCAATCCAATCAACCCATTCAAGCCTTGGACGCCAGGGGGCCAAGAAGATGAAGAAGCGGAAGAAAAAACAGGGTGGCTGGTGGCTGGGCACCCAGGTCAGGGTTGATGAGGTAGCTGCGCTTTTTCGCGTTTAGCAAGCGTTTTTGCAAACCATGGCATCTCCATCCGCCAAAGAAACTTCGGTTTTGTAAGGGCCAAGTCTTTCAGGAATCAGACTTTCGTTTGTTGCCGGGAGCCTTTCGCCTCTCGCAGGTGGGTGGCAAGGCTGGGCTGTTGGGCTCCTGTGCCAGCGAGGATGAGGTGCCGCCTCTCCAGGGATGGCGGCTGAAGCGGAAAGGGGAGAAGGAGTTCCGGGAAGATGCTGGAGGCTTCGCCTCACAGGCCGGTAAACATCTTTCACAGTTGAGACATGAAAAAAGCATCAAGGTTTCTGTAGCGAACGAGTGGCAGGTTGCAATGTTCCTGTTTGCCTATCCCTAGCCACCCTGGGGCCACTGAAACTTAGATTTTGCTTCTTGTGTTGTTTCTAGATCCGGCACCCCATGGCGACGGGAAGGTGCTGTGCTGGTGGGTTGAGTGCAGGATGTTGCTTGTAGCTTCTGCGTGCCCCAGCGCGTATATGGACTGTTGTTGGGGAGATCTTCCCACACCACCTGTTACTGGCACTTTGCGCAGGAGGACCTCTCAGTCGAGGCCTTGAAGCGCTTGGACTTGCAGAAGCTGAGGAACCGTGTGGCAGCGCCGAGCGCGGCCTGTGGGAAGTATTTTGGCCACTTTTGCGCCCTGCTCCACCTAGAGTACTTTGTGGAGGCGGTGTTTCGGGCAACGAAACGAGGACGACACGGCCTGGGAGTGCTCGGCACGCGGAGTGGGGGGGGATTCGCCAGGTGGCCGCTCTACGTCGGCGCACCTCCAAGCGTTCCGGTGAGGAGTTGCAGCGCGGGGGGTGGGCGCTGGTGAACTTGCAAGCCATGGACATCTCCAAGGGCAAGGGCAAAGGGAAGGAGAAAGGCCGGGTGTCAACATTTTGGCCTCTGATCATGAGGGTGCAACATCAATGATGTGGTCCTACCCGAGCTTTCCTAGATTTAAGGGGATGAGCTCCAATCCATAGGCTAAGTTAGAGAACGTGGACGAGAACGTGCAACTCGGCCCCAGTTGGCTGACGAATCCTTGGCAGTTCCTTGTCCAGCGTTGCCTGGCGTGAGGCAAGGGTCGCGACAGCGGTTTTCAGATCACCCTGATGATGCCCAAGTCTCCCAAGATCGACATTGATCGCTTGCGCTTCAAGCGTGGGGACAGTGTGATCCTCTCCGGAACGCACCCCCTCAAAGACCGCGTGGGCGAGGGTCAGGCGGGGTGTATGAAAAGAACAACCGAAGCCAATTTTGATCCGACCCAACTGAAGGAACCCTCACAGGAGTCCAGGAGCCAGCTTCTTTTTTCTCCTTCAGTGGGAGGGATGTTTTTATACGTATGATATGATTAAGAATTAAGAACAATCTTTGAGGATATGAAAAAAACGTTTTGGTAAAACTCCTGAACATTTTTACGTCAGATAATGAGTTTAACAAAAATTGGTTTTAAAAGTCTTCCACAGAAGAAGAACAGGTTCCAGAACAGGAGGAACAATCAGAAGAAGGAACTGATGCGATGAATGACCCTCGGAAGTCGCTGTCTGTCATCCCGCCAGAGCTGCCACCGGTCACCCCGCCCCTGCCCAGTTGCAAGAGCTGAATCCTTCGGTGCTCGTCATCGCCGTGGAGGGCGCCTCCTTCGTCCCATCGAAGGGCCGTGCCTATCGCGTGGACAAGGGCAGCAATCGCCTCAGCTATACTCGCCAGATGAGCTCCTTGGTGACGCTTTGCAAGGAGGCGGCGGTTCGGTTCCGCCCAACCCGACCTCGTGAACAGTTGATCGATCGTAGGGAGGGGCCTGAAAGGGGTGGTGTCTATAAAGCAGCTTGGATTAAATTTGATTAAATCCAAAACGGATCCAAAACGGGAGTGGAGACCGCCTGCATCTTGCGGACAATTAGGCCGCCTGCATCCATTTTGCTTCCGATTCTTGCATGATAGAGGGATGGGGTTAATAATGCAGGGCATCCTTTTCCAACCCGTAGCTGTCATGCCCACCCTTGCGCTTGCGCATGCGCTTGCGTGCTTGCGGCCTCGCCGTTTGCCCTCAGGGCGGAGCTGATCGCCCCAAGATCTTTGAGCTCATCACCCGCGCCAACGTGGGAGACGTGGATGCCTGGACTGCCCATTGGACCGATCCTTTGACGACGGCGAAGACGACGGCGAAGACGACGGCGAAGGTTTCGGATGGGCTGTGGGTGGAGGGGCAGAAGGTGCGGCTGTGCGGGCTGAAGGCGGAGGCGCTGAATGGACAAGAAGGCACGTGGCAGGGGACTGTGAACAGATGGAGGAATATTGCGTGGTTTGATGACATTTCTTTCTCAAGACGGTGGGCCGATAAAGGCCACTGCCACCCCAAGCCTCTAAGTGGTCTTGTGAACTCGCGCCAGGCGAACTGGTGGCCGTTGATGGCCGGGTGCTTGCCTCCGGGTCGGTGCCGCCGCGCGCGCATGTAAAGCTGAAGGATGGGGTGAAGGCGGTGCAGGTCGTTCACTTGGAGAAGGTCTGGCACGATTTGGGAAGGGTCCGAAGACTCTTTTTGGGGCAGCTTTGTTGGGATTTGGATGATTTGGAGGTTTGTTTGGCCACCTTTCGATGCCACCAGCCTTGAGTGCCTCAGGTGGACGCGCAGGCCGCGTTTGTCCCTGCAGCCATCGCTTCAGCCTCAGTGGAGTTGGCAGCAGAGGCGCTGCCGGCGGACGCAGAGAAGCTGTCCAAGTGTCAGGAGGAGTGCGACCTTCCTGGCAGAGGAGGTGAACATGTCGAATGGGTCTTGTTTCGCCTTTAGACAAAGGCAGCTCCAACCAGTGGATCGAACCAGAGTAGATTGAGGCTCCTGGCGTCACCTGGGGAGGAACATCTTCCATTTGTCCAATTTCCATGTGACTTCAATGATTCAAGGGCCTTCAAGGGCGTGATGACATCCATATACTGTGTATATATATATACACACAGAACTTCCAACGTCGCAGTTTAACTTAGCCAATGAGAAACGTCGAAGTTAAACTTGTACACCTCAGTGAGTCTAAGTTTTACTCATGTTAGTTGTCTTAAACAGAACAGACTCCGCAGAACGACGAAGTTTAACCTGGTTAAACATAGACAGAAACAACGTCGAAGTTAAACTTAGCCTTTGAAGATTATATAGGGTATATATATTGAAAATCGTGAAAGTAACTTGCCCATAGTAACTAGACTAGTCTGCAATCTGAGCTTTTTGCGGGCGGCGACATGTCTTTTCAAGAGCTATCAGTGGACACTTCCTGGTGCATGCCACTTGAGGTCATTCAATTAACTACTCCGTATGTACCTTCCGTATGTCTTGGTTGGCTGCACTTTTCGTGGTGTGCCACCGGTGTGCGTTTAGCTCCGCAGAGGAGCTCGCGGCGCTCAGTTGCACCGACGCGCAGAAGCGCGCGATCGGTGCGACCTTCCAGCGACGCTGCACGATGATCCAGGGACCTCCAGGTGCGGAGAGCTCGGCCTGTTCTTTTGGATCTCCACGGCCCGCTATTAGGTTGGAGGCCATCGCTATTGAATATAACTATATAGGTTTCCTTGAAGTCACATGGTGATGATGCCAAGGTGCATGTCGATAGAATCCCTGAATCCAAGTAGTGCACCATGTAGCTTCCATTTCGCCCGCTGGAGCTGGGCGGAGCCACGTGAACGCTTCATGAGGTACTGGAAAGACCTTCACCGCCGTCGAGGTGTTGCGTTCCTGGGCGCAGCTGGGACTGAAGCCGCTGCTGGCGGTGGCCGATGGGAACATCGCGGTCGACAACATTGCAGCCACCTGGTCGGACGGAGGGGCGGGGGCGACTGGGATCTCGCGAAGAACCCCCTGAGAGGTGAGGTGTCATGTTCGATCAGAGTGGGTGTCACATGCTGGGTTGGAGGACTCGCTGAAAATCTCGGTGGAGAATACCCGGAATACCTCCTGCATACATATCTAAAAGCACCGAGTGGACCATTGCGAGTTCACCGAGGCTGGCCTTGCAAAGTATGGCGAAGCTTGACTGCAGCCTACATGCATGCATGTAGTGCCCATGCCGGCCGTGCTGGCCATGCCCTCAAGTTCAGGGCGACTGTTGGGAACCAGCCTGTGTGATCGCGTGGGGGGCATCATCTCTTCAGTAACCCCCTGTGGCTTCACTTCTCGCCTCTTCCGACTGTGGTCGCCGCGCCTGCGCTCTCTCCTTGCGCGCCGAGATGAAAGTGAAGACGGTGCGGGTGGGGCGGCCTGAGAAGATCCGACCCGAGCTGGAGGAGATCACCCTGGACAACCAGTGCAAGGCTGGGGACTGTGAGGCATGGTATTGCTAGGCTAGTCACGAAAGCTAGCATGCTAGCTGAGTTCTTCTTTGCTTTAGCAATGTTGTGGTGGGAGGGGCTGCGTGCCTTAAAGATTGATATATCAAGCTAACCCCCCCCCCCGCGGTTCAACTCCCAGCTGCGCCGTGTAGGGGGTTGGTTGAACGTGTGAACGTGGTTGGTTGGGTGTAACGGTGGCTTGGTGTAAAGGGTGCTGCTGCTGCTGCCGCTCTGCTGCTTGCTGCTGCTGTTTGCTGCTGCCGCTGGTTGCCGCTTTTGTAGCTGCTGCTTTGCTACTTGTTGCGGCTTGGTGCTGCTGCTGCTGTTGCTGACGACGCCGCTGCTACTGCTGCTTGCTGCTTGCTGCTTGCTGCTGCTGCTTGCTGCTTGCTGCCGGTAGTGCTTGCTGCCGGTGGTGCTGCTGCTGCTGCTGCGGCTTGATGCTGCGCTGCTGCTGCGTGGTGCTGCTGGCTGGCTGCTGGTTGGTGGTTGCTGCTGGCTGCTGGCTGCAGGCGGCTGCTGCTGCTGCTGCTGGCTGCTGCTTGCTGCATAGGACTTGTACTTCACCGTTACAAGTTGTTTACCCCTATTTCTAACCTAATGCATGCATAAGCGGGTGGTAAATTTACCCCCCAGGCTTGCTATAACCATACACCGGCTATTTCCTCAAGACACTCTATTCTTGATACCTTTTACCCGTGCTTCTCCTACACTACGGACGCCCTAGTGTATGCACAGTCCTTGTGATGCTTACCCCTCGTTCCGGCTCAAGGCATACATAAGTGGGGGGTAAATTTACTCCCCAGATTTGCCATAACCATAAGCCGGCTATTTCCTCAAGACACTCTACTCCTTCTACCTTTTACCCGTGCTTATCCTACACTACGGACGCCCTAGTGTATGCACAGTCCTTGTGATGCCAGAAATGCTTACCCCTCTTTCCAGCGCAAGGCATACATAAGCGGGGGGTAAATTTACCCCCCAGATTTGCAATAACCATACACCGGCTATTTCCTCAAGACACTCTATTCCATATACCTTTTACCCGTGCTTCTCCTACACTACGGACGCCCTAGTGTATGTACAGTCCGTATGATGTCAGAAATGCTTACCCCTCTTTCCGACTCAAGGCATACAAAAGCGGAGGGTAAATTTACCCCCCAGATTTGCCGATCACGCATCTTCGTGCCTGCCAACGAGTGCACCCGGGTTGTTCCAATGTACCCTTCCCAGTCAGCGATGTCACATTTACATTCTTTAGCGCAAAGTATGTACATAGCAACCTTCCTCCCAAAACATGTCATCCCTACATGCTTTGCCGACTATGTAACTAGTACATCCGGTGCGATTCGGCTAGCTTTCGACCTCTCCCCCTGGCCTCAAGTCTTCTTAGATCTTGTAAGTCAAGGATGGAGATGAGGGACAGAGAAGACCGTCTTAGGGCTTGGGAACCTGCAAGGCTTGGGTCCATCATTCCCCGAAAGCCAATGAGCTTGCTTGGAAGGTACCGGCACCTATTTTGAGACCGCCTAGCAATTTATCCCACCGCGCTGCTGTGTTTTTTCTTTTGGGGCTGCCAAGGTTTTGGGGCGGATCTTCTAGATGAATCTCACGTGGTCAATGAACAAGAAACGTTTGTCCGAAGACCCGCGCAGCAGCAGATCCAGGTCCTGAAGCAGCAGATCCAGGAGAGAATCTGGGAGGGTAGGGTGCTCTTGCTGGGTCCCTTTGGTCAGGGCCTGGAGGGAGGTCAGGTCGAATCAATTTTATCACGAAAGCTAGCGAAGCTAGCTGGAGTTACCCTTGCGATAGCAAGGTTTCTTTCGACCGGGTGCAAATCCTAACCCCTGATTTTTCAGGTCGAAGA